AGGGCTACTACTATTGATTATATTACTATTGTTTTTGTTCAGTAGATAAAAATCATCATCTCCATCGAAGATGGATCAACCCTTTCCCCCAACTCCTAGCTTCTCATCCTTATCAAAATGAATCCAGATGTTAATCAAATTCAAATCAGGACATGACAAGAAGCTAAAAGTCTATATAACAGGCTAAAAATTTCAGTCCCGAAACCCTTCCGGATTCTTGAATCCACTGAATCAAGCTCGCTAATCTTGACTTCCTCTTAATCCGGAAGGCTGTCCTCCACCCTTCACCGTTGCCTGCAACGGCCCTGCAACTATTGTAGCGACACAATAGTTGCAACTCGGAGTGTTCACTGCTATTTCTGCAATCGGCTATTGTTTTTTCTCACAATTTTTGTACTTCTCATCCGCGCAACTAATGTTGTTGTGTTTTTCTTTTACTTCTTTGCCAAAATGGCCGTTTCTGACGTTTCTCAGAAATGTTACGTCATCATCTCGGATTTTTAAAATTTTAAAATACCAGAATATTCTAGCCCTCACCGTTTGGCCAATCGTTCCAATAACGTTCTTAATTCTTAATAATCATCAATCCGAAAGGCTCGCTGCTAAAAACTCGAATTCTGCAGAGATTGCATTTTTCACATTCTGGTCGAATGTCACATTGCTATTCGCAATTTCCGTCATAGAGAACAAGAGTAGAGCTGTCCTATCTGAGATAGAAAACAGAGTATTCCCGAGAGCAAATCCAAATTCACCTGAACCAGAGTGAACCTTCAGTGGAAAGGTGGACAGCTGGAGTGTCCCAATGGTTCAGATTAAAACTTCATTCTAGAGTCTAAACTTACTTCTGTTATTAAAACTGATACGTATTGAACTTATCAAGTTATCTCATTTAATTCTTGAGTTGCTCATTAATTTAATTACTCCTTGTACTCGAGTGCGTCAACATGTGAGTTCCTAATTTAGTTTTCTTGAGTGTGTTTTATGATTGTTATGTTGAGATAAGGCGAGTTTTAGGTTGATCCATCTGAAATGGATCAAAGTTCCGCTGTCTAATAAAAAGTAACTTAACGGATTGTTCCGAACCGGTTTTTAACGGCGTTCGCGTATTTTGGGTATTTCGAGACCTAAGTATGGGGACGTTCTTATTTCTAGAGTGGGGGGGATATTTTGGTTGTAGCCTTTAAGCTGTAACGGGTCGTAGTCTCATGTCACAAGTGAACCGAATTGGCTCCGACCGTTTTGAGGTAGAAAAACACAAGAGATTGTGTCCCTGACTCTTGAGCCAATGGTTATAGGGCCTACTTTTCTTAAGCCTCATATGTGACCGAAGTAGACGAATGTTACAAATGTTACACAGTTCAGTTGCATGAAAATTATGCCATTTGGGAAATTTTATATTTTTTTGTCATTTGTGAAGTATGCAGTCTGAGACGTAATTGTTAGCGGTGTTAACTGTGTAATCAAAACATTTGGGAAGGGTCAGTTTGCAGTGACGAAATTATTTTTCAAAAATTTTTTTTGAAAGTAAAGAGACGTCACGACCTTACGGTTTCGCAGTTACTGAAAAAACGCGTAAATCAAGCGACCGATTTGCGCTATAAAATCAACAACAACGAGTCTCGACAGTGACGAATAATCGTGAAGTAGATCGTTACGGAGCAGTTCCCAACAATTTTAGGTCGTGTTGGCATGTAAGTACCTAATTTAATTTCTTGAGTGTGATTTATATTGCTATGTTTAGTTAGGGAGAGTTCTTAGGTGGATCAATCTGAAATGGATCAAAGGTACACTGTCCAGTAAAAACTAACTGTATACACAAGGTTCCGACCCTGTTTTTAACGGCGTTCTTGTGTTTTGTGTATTTTGAGACCCGAGAATGGGGGCGTTCTTATTTCTAGAGTGGGGGTGGTTTGGTAGTAGTTTTTAAGCTGTAACATGGTTTGTAGTCTCATGTCGCAATTGAACCGAATTATCTCCGACCGCTTGAGGTAGAAAAACACAAGAGATAGTGTCCCTGACTCTTGAGCCCCAATGGTTATAGGCCTATTTTTCTTAACCTCATTTGTGACTTAAGTAGGCGACTGTTACATGGACCGCAACTAGAGGGCTCTTCGACCAGATTCAGCAATCTGGAAGTGTCTTGGGAAGTGATTGAAACTGGTTTTTAGACAACTTTCAGCTTCCAGGTATGTCTTGAACTGAATTTGATGAACATCTAATTCATTTTCCGGAATATGAGAAGTTAGGGGTTGAGGGAAAGGGTTGATCCATCTCCGATGGATATCATGATTTTTATCTACTGAACAAAAACAATAATAATATTATAATAAGAAGTAGCCCTGTTTTAGGAGTGACCTCATGGTCTGGGGATACTGAGACCCAGCCATGAGCTCTCTATTTTGTCTTAATTAAGAATTTTTTAAAATTGTTAATTCAAACGTTTTCGCTCATTTTGTGCATCGTCAGGATATAAAATTTTTTATTTACAATAAAATGATCAAAGATCATGTATGAAAATCAAAAAGAACATGTTAGAAATTTTTAACCAATCACATTCTTACATCTGTTATTACGTAATCATTATTTCATCGATTATGACAATTTCCATACTTTTTTGTTACTTGAGTCATATTTTTTCGATTTGATGTTTTATCCAAACTGACATGTCAGTTTATTTTTTCAAAAATTGCAATTTTTAGTCATGTTTAAACATGTACTATAATTTTAATGTCAGCTCCCTGCTCCTGAACTCCTCGCGCGTGTTAATTCTGGGGCGTTCTTTCCAAATATGTAAGGCCTCCAGAGTGAGGAGTTTCTGTATGTTACTTGATTGATCTATAATCTCAGACTTAAGCTCAGCGCTCTTACCATCCCTGTCACATTCTCTCAAATGTTGCCCTACTGGCGAATCTTCCTTGTGATGCTCTTCAATCCGCGTGGTCAAATGCCGGACCATTTGTCCAACATAGGTGGAATTACATCCACTACATGTGAGCTTGTAGACCACTCTGGATTTCAAATCTTTCGCAAAGGGAGATTTAAGGGACGGTAGGCAAGTCTTGAGCTTTCTCGTAGTAAATATCACTTGGGCTCCGGCGTTTTGACGCAGTTTGGCAGCAAACCACTCCGATGCATTACCCCGGTATTGTAATGTTATAATGGGTGCACTGACCTTTAAAGGATCTTCCTTGACTGATGTTACCGTTGTTCGTGTGTCAGTTTTTCGGTCGATGATCTTATTCAACGTTCTTAATACGACACCATCTGACCATTTTTCAGGGTATTGATTATCCACCCATTGTTCTTTATTAATCTTCATTGCCTTGTCAAAGTTTTCCCATGTTGATGTACTTCTAAAAATCCGATGAACAGTACCCTCAACTACATTGCGTTTATATTGCAATGGAGCGCAGCTTCTGAAGTTAAGGATAGTCCAAGTATCCGTTGGTTTTTGATACCATCCACTTGTTACCTTTTTTCGTGAGTCCACATTAATGTTCAAATCTAGAAAGGCTAAGTCTCCGTTCGAATCCGGATTTTCGATAGTGAATTGAAAGTTGGGGTGGAGCTCATTAGCTGCTTTTAACACTATATCTGGATCCCCCTTTACCGTCCTCACTATATCATCTACATATCTTAGGAACGCTTTGACATTTTCTGTTGGTTTTTCTTGATCTCGCTGCTCTTTACATCTCTTACAATACCAAACCATTTCTGAGATTTGCTCATATTCTTTGTCGGACACATTACTACACTTTAAATGGTACCAATTTAAACAAGCTTCGCATTCGATCCCCTTACTTCTGTATGTTACCCTCCGCTCGCAATCAGGGCATAGGCCATTCCGGTTTTCATTTAGCTGTGTCAACGCAGGTACTTCCTTCATTAATGCATATTCGTACTCCTTCAGCCATAAATTGGCAAGAATGACAGCAAGGGATGCACCCATTGCCAACCCATCCTTTTCGTACTCCTTTAGCCATAAATTGGCAAGAATGACAGCAAGGGATGCACCCATTGCCAACCCATCCTTTTGTACGTACCATAAACCATTGCATTTGAAGTGCACCTTACTTACAGCCATGTTCAACAATTTCTTCATAGTTCCGCGTGCCAGTTTAGGAGGACTAGTTTGTTCGTACATTTTCCTCAGTGCTATATCTATTGCCTCCTTTAGTGGGACATTAGTGTACAAACTTTTGACATCCAGGGAGATAATACTCTCATTATAGTCTAGATCTATGTTCTCTATGATCTCCCGAGCCATTTGTGTGTTTGTCTCAATGTTTGCCCCCTCAATGTTGTCAAAAAATTTGGCCAAAGTTTTATTTAGATGTTCATATGAGCTCCCTGGCAGTGACAGTACGGGACGGAGAGGGGTTCCTTTCTTATGTACTTTAGCCAATCCATATAATCGAGCTAATTTTAATTGCTTCTTATGTTATCATTTACTACTTCAATTTGTAATTCTACCCACCTTGGTATCGTATTTTTCCTTTCTTGTTTTCCTTGTTTATATTTTATTGGCTGACAAACCCTATTTTGGCTCATTCGAAGGATACATTTTTTATGCTTTCTTCCGGATCGCACAAAACGTTAAAAATCTCAACAGAATTTTTAGTACAAATTTTTCATGGCAACTTTTTTTCGCTCGTTCTAGGACCTAGCTTTATTTTCCGTCGGTATGTACTTCCGGGCCAATGTTACATATATCAAAGTCAATCAATTTTGTATCTCAAGTGGTGTGAAAATCAGCTTTGCCTCTGTATATTTTCTTCAACACGTTTCGACTCTGTATTAATAATTGACAAATTTTCAGGCAGTAAATTTTTTGCTAAATAGCTGGTGTGGATAAGCAGATAGAATGGGAAAGACCCTATTATTATAGCCCTGCAAAATATGTGCAATGTCCCTCGCATGACGAAAGTTTTCTGAAGATAATGGCTCGTTGATTGATTTATGTTTTGTATGCTGTCGCATATTGTTACAAAATTTCAGGTTCAAAATGCCCTTGGCTTCTAGCGGGAGCGCGAATCATGTGAATAGCAATACATTTGGATCCTCTGGTAAAGACAATCCTCAATATGAAAGTGTGCAAGTAAGACAACGTGGTGCCTGGGATTTCGCATCTTACTATGAAAGTCTCTGTGTTCTTCAAGATTCATGTCCTCTGCAAGCTGTCAAAGCTAATTTGAATGTTAACACACTAGATATCAATGCTGATCGAGTACGCGAAGAAGATTGGGAACCGATTTTCAATTCAATCAAAATCAATAAAAGCTTGGAATTTATCGCCGTCAGAAGTTATTATGACCCGGAGCCCGAAGACATGCCAACTCCTCGTTATCCCATACTGAAATCGAGTCGTAAAGCGCCTTCAATTAGGAAAAAAGAGCTAATAAGTAAATTGAGCCGTGCTTTGAAGCAGTGCCTTAAAGTCACTGGGAATCTAAAAGTCCTTGAGCTGCAAGGACTTCCTTTGTCATTCAAAGACGTGGAAGAAATTTCTGCTGGACTGCACGAGAATGACACCCTTACAAAATTATCGCTCGAGTTTTGTGATATCGGCAACGATTCTGTGGAAGTTTTGTGCCTGGGGTTGAAGCATGCACTATGCGTATCATTCTTGGATTTAACGTGCTGTAACCTATCTTCTGTTGGTGCGAATGCTCTTGCCAAACTTGTAGTTTATCAGTCATCTCTACGACATGCTGAAGCTTGGCAAGATAGTTTGCGTTATCGAAGACCTAATTTAGACATGCTTTTGGGTCTTCGTAGAATTGTACTTAACGGCAACTCGCTCATTGGCGACGAGGGAGCTGCATGCTTTGCAGATGCACTTAGAGATGATCTTTGGCTGAAGGCACTAGACTTACAGAAATGCGGCCTTACAAATGATGGGGCAAAAGCATTGCTAGAAGTATTGAAGTTTAGTGTTACAATGGTAGTGTGTGACATCAGAAAGAATCCGTTTGTTGACAAAGAGCTAATCAGATCCGTAACTGAGCAGTGTTTAATCAATTGTCAAGGTCGCGATGTCGAATATCCGTGGCTAAAAATGAAGTCTAGTGAAAATCCTGATATATTGAAACTAAAAATGAAAACTTTTAGTTCGGCAACTAATACACCTCGGAGCTCTAGAGGAAGCGGTGCATCATCGCGGAAAGCAAAGAAAGCGAAGTCTGACCTGAAAAGCCAAACAGCTCGCGAAGAATCTCAGAAACGTGCAAAGATACCTGTCAGCTCCGGATACCCATGGCGAACTGCAATGCGTGTCAATCGCCACAAAACTTTGGCTTCTGAGCATGATTTGATGGCATCCGAAAAAAACGCATCAGAGCGAGAGAATCAGCATCAAATACGAAGAGGTCAGAGTTCTAGTCAAGTTGTCTCTCATTATGGTCCTGGCGCAGTTGAACTAAGTTATGACGACGAAGACTTTACGATGACAGGGATTCAACCGAATGGCTATGGAGCTCCGAGAGTCGATCATCACAGCAGATCAAATGACTTGGAAACTAAGAGACCAAGTACTGCACGTCCAAATTTGGGGAGTGAAATGAGTTCAGATATGCGACTGGTTATGGTTGAACTTGAGAAGATGAAAATGAAGCTGGACCGAGAAACAGACGCCAGGAGAAGGTGTGATCAAAGGCTAATTGATCTTGAGATTGAAAACAGCAGACTTCGAAGAGAGGTTCTATCGGCCAAAAGTGGGGGTGCAACGGCAGGCAACTTGAGCGAAGAACAAAGTGTGATTCTCGACTCGGTCGAGGAAACGTTCAAAAAGTTCTCCAAGTTTTTGGACTTGTTGAGGCAAGCTGGTTTCGGAGATCTTGCTGATCTGGCCGGACTGGACACGGAAGACCTGGAGAAAATGTCACAAACCAGACCAGGAAAGAAACCAACTTTACAGAAACTTGATTCAGTGGATTCAGGAACTGCGGATGATTACACGCTCAACAATAGAAATTTCAGTAAAACCAGCCAGTTTGGAGGCCAAGGTGATGCGCAGAGAAACAACTTGATGGAAATGCCAAAATCAGAAGGCAAGAAGACAGCGATTTCTAGCAAAAGTAGAGAGGAGGGCGGATCAAAATATTACGCGAAAACTTCAGAGGAATTGATGCAAGAAATCCGAAGCATGACAAACGAACAGTCCGAAAATGATTTTACTGCAGCCGAAAAGAGCCACAGACAGTCTAAAAGAGAGGATATGAATGTTGAAGACATATTGGATGATGAAGATGAAGACGAGTCACATTTCAGGAATAATTCAGAGATGGATCAAAGAACTCCGTCTCCATTGCCCATTTCAATTGTCACTGACAACGAAGGCTCTAGATATGACTGATAAAGGAATGAACGTAAACTCATCTGCAAGTTGTAAAAAATGCCACAAATTATAATTTCAAATCCGTCTACTTAGCCTCACAAAAATATACTGATATTTTGACTATATTTCCCAGTTTTATTGTAACCATGTTTTGCTTAAAGCAGAAACTAACTCTTAAATACCCCCATTATGTACAGATCTGTATGTACTAAGTTAGTACGAATTGAGTTTTAGAAATGTAAATGTGCTATAGATAACTTAGATATATTAGACATTTTGCAAAGTTTCGAAAGTTGTCATATTTTGTACAGTTCGGTTGAATTTGTTTGCAAAGAGTTTACTAATAAACGTTTGAAATATTTTTTTCATCAAAAATTTTGGAAAACTATTAAAATTGATTGCAAATAATAGGTCGTATTACTTTTCTTGACAAAATTATCGGCATAGGTGTTATTTGTCAATTGATTTATGCAAATAAAACATGCGCAATAGCCGCTGAAGTTGAACATCAAACAATTCAAGGTAATGTCATTCGACATATGTCTTCATATTGTAGCATGCGAAATCTCACCCTTCTGTTAGCTCATGATTGATTCGTTTGTATAATAGTAGTTAGTTCTTAGACTTACAAATCAAACAGCAATATTGGTGCAAAATGACTGAAGAAATTAACGAGCGAAGAGAATCAATTACCCATAGAAGTCGAAGTTTCCCCAGAATATCACCTTCAAGAGTTGTCTACGAAGCACGACGTAATGCCGACGAGTTGGCAGTGTTTGTTTCGGATGCATTAAGAACTCTAGTAGTTCTTTTATTGATTGGATGGATAACATTGTGGATCTCAGCTTTCATTTATGGATCTTTTTATTACAATTTTCTACCCAAAGTCTCTTTCAAAGTGGAAGCGCATTTCAACTATGATAACTGTCAAGGTCAAATAGCGAATTCAGATGGTGATCGATTTTGCAGCTTTCCAACCAGTAATTTTAGGTAGGTCCGAATTACTATACTGTTGATGTATTTTTAGAAGTGACGTGAGTAAGTTATTAGTGGGCTTGGTATTTAAGAGTAATGAACGTAATGAAGACTCTTATATAGGTCTTGGTGATTTTTTTTGTTTTTTTTTTCGGGAAAAGTCTTAAAATGCTCTAATAGCTACAGATGTGCATTCATACTTATTAATGCATTTGTGAATGCTCTTAAGTATAGATGCACTTTTTGAGTTCAATTGAAATTCATCTGCTGAAAGTTAGGTAAATAGCATTCTCCAATTACGAGCGTGGCGGGAAAAAATGTGAACAATTTTTAATTTCGAAAGTGGAATTTAATTTTAAGATTTCCAGTGGAATAAAAACTTTAACCTATTGATCCAGTTTGCTCAATCTGAAAAAAAGCGCCAATCATAAATTGTTCTAGAAATTCAAAGATCTTAAAGGGTATCTAGCTTTTTCTTTGAAATTCGAAAGATTTTTTCAACTAATTCAATGTTTTTTTTTTCTGTTTACTTGCGTTCTTTACTCTTTTCGAACTGTCAACCGGCTATGTTTTAGCAGACCGATTTTCAGTCGGCTCAAAATAATTAGCAAAAATAAACGCTTGCTTCAAATGCGATAGTGACACCAAGAACACTAGGTCCACTGTATTTAATTTAGACCTAAGTTGTATAGTGGGCGTAAATTGTGTTTCTTCACTTTTCGAACGTTAATGCCACGTTTTTGCAATATCCGTGACATTGAGGATCTTATTTGGCCTAAAATAGATTTCTAGTTAAGATAATATGACATGATTCTTAAGCAAAAATTGCTTGAAAAATTGATTCCGGACGTGCGAATCAGCAGTATCCGATTATTTGACTCAGCTCAGATTTGTTGATCAAAAAGATATTGTCTACCATTTAGCATTAAATATAGACTGTTCTTTTTCAGAAAAACTAGAGTTTAAAAATCTTATACAGAGTAAGGTAGTTGGCCTAATTGAAAACCGCAATCCCCACTAAGGCCACTCTGTTTGCGCAACTACGCGTCAGTCATTTTTAGTCCGTTGAATTTCCTTTCTTTCGGCATGCTAAAAGATCGGTCTATCCCATTTCAGCTATTATAGAGGGCGATTTTTCGAAAATCAGTTGGACATGAGCTTGCTTGTCCAATTATCACAGTGGAAGAAAATAGTAGTTGTGTCCGAGCATAGTAAAAGATAACAGTAAAAGATAAATAAAGTAGAACGACACTACTCGCATCAGAGCGAAACCTTTAACGTTTCGGTTGCCGCTTAACATGTCTATAGCAGCGTATGGTAAAAAAGATAGAGTATTTAAAAAAATCAATCAAATAAACAAGTAGCACAGAATGTTCCGTGTTCCGACCATTGTCTTTAAAAGACAACAAAAAGATGTGTTTTAATGTTGTATTTTTTTTCTGGGTGTTGTCATAAAAAGATACACATAAATCTATAATTTAGACATATTCGACAGTCGTAGTAATATAGGCAAATTGGACAAAAGTTTTTGAAGAAAAATGTCTACAAAAAAATTTTAAAAATCATTTTTCAATTTTTCCGAAGGTTTTGCGACGGCACCAAGTTATGTTTTCTGACTCAGCCTAAAGTTTTAACAAAAAGACATGTTTGATGAATTGTTTTCGTTAAAATGCTCTCTTGATTCAAAATTTTTGAAAAGTTTTGTCTGTTGGAAAATTTTAACATTCAACTGTCGCATGTGCTTTGCGCACTAAAGTGAGAAGCCAAACTTTGCCAAACTAGGCTTATTTATTATTTTGCTGATTGTGCTTTTTAGAGCTGTTTATTACGTGTTCTCGGTAGTGCTGTGTTAACTTTGCGTCTATCAACTCATTAGTTTAATCAATTAGCTAGCTGCAACGTATTTTGCAACTATTTCAAAAACGAATTAAATAGCCGCCGTCGCTAATCGAATCAATGTCAACCTTCAAACTATCATATTTTTACGTTAACTAATTGCAGGTAATATCGTTTTCATTGTAAGCTCAGGGCATCAGCTTTTTCTCGATTGTAAAAAAAATTTGCAGAATGTAATAAAAATTCTCGAGAAGGAAAATTGCTCAAGAGCACAAGGCTTTCGTCACTTTAATCGAAAACAGGAACGAAAAATGAAAACCCGAGTTGAGAGTGTCATTCACATCTAGTGTCAAATTAATCTCAATAACAGAATTTTAGACCAAAATTTTCTCAGCACAGAAATTTTCTGAAACACCGAAATTTTCTTCAATGACCTCAGAGAATTACTTGAAGTGAAAGAAAGAGTTTTGGTTGAAGTTAACTTCAATTCATGCTTTTAAACTCTGTTTCGAAATCAATGGTACTCGAAATCACTTGACTCTGTTCAAAAGACAATTCAAGACAAACGTATGAAATTTTGATAGAATTTTTTTTGGACATTCAAATTTCGCTCCACCTTGGCGGCCTTCCTTTTATTCTCTGATTGATGATTTGCCAGGCTGTTTGGTGTAGATAAGTGATGTTCCAAAGCTTCTCTTCGCCTCTGTCCAATTGTTTATGATTTATCCTTTCGATAGTATTTCCTTTAAAACATTTTGTTTCTTCATAATTTTTCCGAAGGTTTTGCGACGGCACCAAGTTATGTTTTTCTGACTCAAAATTTTAACAAAGAGACATGTTTGATGAATTGTTATCGTTAAAATGCTCTCTTGATTCGAAATTTTTGAAAAGTTTTGTCTTTTGGAAAATTTTAACATTCAACTGTCGCATGTGCTTTGCGCACTGAAGTGAGAAGCCAAACTTTGCTTTTTTCGAGGTTATCAGCTAAGCTTTTTTTATTTTATCACCATTTTAACAACAGGTTGTGTTCAATTTCAGGTTGAAGCACCTTGAGGTCGTTTCTTCGAGTTCTCTTTGGTTTCACCAAATAATTATTTTTCTATCGGTGCCGAATAAGCATGGGTTTCAGGAATTAAATTCTGAATACAACATCTCTTTCAATTTGAAATAAAATTAATTTGCAAGTGCCTTCAACTCCCCTCAAGAGTGGCAGCGCGACCGAAAAACCCTTGTTTGTGGTCAGTGGATGTTCAGGAACGGCCTAGACGCCCCTCTTACTACCGTACTGAGTCGAACCAAACCCAGGCCCCAACGGTTACAATAGCTAGCCCTGTAATAATCTTATCTGCCGCTCTCCTTATGGTGTATTGTAGGACTTTGCTTCTCCATTTAAAATTGGCTGCCTTAGCTCAACGTTTCAATATCTCAGACACTTCTACTGTCCAAACTGTTACTACTGTCCAATGACGCGTACGCATATTTCTTTCTGCTTCCAACACCATTCATCGACTCACCACTCAATTAACCACCTGTACCGGACTACTCACATAACACTTATGTGCAGCCAATATTCCTCCCTTCATTCTAAGACACTTCACATCAGCCAAAGTTCCGGCCCAAAGGACAACTGCCCCCAAGAACCTCAATTCCCTGAACTTCTGCACTCAAAACCCAGACAACTAATACTCCCGCTCGAAATAACCCGAGAAACCGCCCATGTTACTCTGTCTTCGTTGATTGCAATTGAATTGCAATGGTATCGGTGATAAGGCACCTGAGCTTGTCCTCAACCGGGAAACAAACAAGATCCACTTTGCTGCTCTGCACGAAACCAAGCTCAATTGCAACAGCAATGCTCCCATTCTTGGTACCTATAATTTTGTCTGCAACGACCGTGAAAAGTAATGTGGGGGACTCCTTGCAATGGTCAGCGATATACCGTACGAACTCGCACTCCCAGCTCTACATACCTCCACGATCCTCATGCCCCCAAGGCTACCAAAAATCTATAAACCACCTACTTCTTAACTCAGAAGGACTAGTACTCGGTAACACTAACGCTCATTCCCCTCTGGAGTTCCAGAAACCCCGAAAACGAAAGAGGACTACTATCGGACGAAATAACGGAATCCAACTATGTTCCTCTCAACTCGGAAGAACGAAGTTGCTCACCTTCTTCACAACAAAGCTCGTCCCCTAGCATCTCCCTCTTATCACAGACTAACGCCCTATCCTGCCATTGAGCTTACAATTTAGTCTTAGCTCACACCACCTACCCATCTTCATCTCAATCGACTCTAACTCTGCCACTCAACTCGCCGCCAAGAAAACCCTCCAACCTCAATAAAGCTGATATTGATGACTTCGCAACTGAAATAGATGAGGTACTCTCTCATAAAGAGGAACCTAGCGATGTTAAAGTCTTCAGAAACGCAACATTTTTTAACTACTATAACCGCGATTCCCCCTCTCCACCCAAAAGTTTGTCCTTTATATCTTACGCGGACGACTTCAATTCTACAGCCACGCCTCTAATATCAAAACTATATCTTCTGTCTCCGCTTACCTAGTCAGTCTTCGACAGTCTCAACTTGGAACTCTCCTCCTCCAATTGCTCATTAAACCTTTTCTCACCTGACTCAAAAGGCTTCAAAACTCACCACCAAATCAAAATCCAGAACACTCTGCTCCCACTGGACCGCAACTACAATTTAGTCTTAGCTCACACCACCTACCCATCTTCATCTTCATCTCAATCGACTCTAACTCTGCCACTCAACTCGCCGCCAAGAAAACCCTCCAACCTCAATAAAGCTGATATTGATGACTTCGCAACTGAAATAGATGAGGTACTCTCTCATAAAGAGGAACCTAGCGATGTTAAAGTCTTCAGAAACGCAACATTTTTTAACTACTATAACCGCGATTCCCCCTCTCCACCCAAAAGTTTGTCCTTTATATCTTACGCGGACGACTTCAATTCTACAGCCACGCCTCTAATATCAAAACTATATCTTCTGTCTCCGCTTACCTAGTCAGTCTTCGACAGTCTCAACTTGGAACTCTCCTCCTCCAATTGCTCATTAAACCTTTTCTCACCTGACTCAAAAGGCTTCAAAACTCACCACCAAATCAAAATCCAGAACACTCTGCTCCCACTGGACCGCAACCTTTAAATC